CAGCTGTTCAGCGGTTCAAAATCCCCCTCCCGGGCAAAGGGGGGGGGTAGAGAGTGTCTGAATAGTGGTAGAGCCTCTTTTGCACCCCCCAAGTTTTTTTTGGGGGGGGTGAAAGGAGTGCTCCCACGGAGTTCAGACTTGTCTCCACTTCCCAGCTGTTTTTGTCCTCAGGGACAAAACGAGCCGCTGCAAACACCTCCGTGCTTAAAGAGAACTGGTGAGTTTTTTTTTATAAACGGACAGAGCTGAGTAGAGGATTTAGTTTTTCCTTTCTTTGATTTATTTGGATTTTAAGTTTTAAGACTTGCTTCTATTTTTATTCTCTCTTTTTATTTTTTTTTCTTTGTTGAAAGGGAAAGTAAAATGGCGATCGGCAAATCTCTCGGTGTTTTTTTTTCTGAAGTTAGAATGCTGACCGGCAGGCTTTTTGGTGTTTCTCTTTCTTTCCTTTCTCTTTCCCTTTTTATTTTCTTATGATTGGAATGGTTGTTTTTGGTATCTCTAAGTATTTTTTTGGGAACGGACTTTTTCTATTTAATTTTTTTTTTCTCCCTTCTTTTTATTGTAATGACCCTTTTTTGAAGGACTTTTTTCTGTTTAATTTTTTGCAATTTTTAAGAAGGAGTAAAGCTTTTTTTTAATTCTTTTTCTCTTCCTTTTTTTTTCTTTTTCCCTTTTTTCTTTTTATTATAATGACCTTCTTTGGAGGGAGTTATGATTTTTGAAGGACTTTTTATAATTTTTTAAGAAGGGCTAAAGGTTTTTCTTTAAGATGGCTCCAAAGCGTCCAGGGATTTCTACAGCTTCTAAATCAACAGTTTCACCCTCTTCTGGGGGTCAGCTAATAACTATGAAGGATTTGCAAAACATGATGGGAGATGTTATAATTCAAATTAGGGCAGAAATGAAAAAGATTTTAGAGGAAAATAATAAGATCTTGAGACAAGATTTTTTTTTGGCTTTAGAAGGAGTTGCTTCTGTTCTTGAAAAGGTGAACTCCCATGTGGAAGAGGTAGCTGAAAAAGTGGACATAATGGAGGGGAAAATTGAAAGTATGGAAAAAGAAATGGAAAATGAGATTCTTATGCTTCAATATGGACAAATGGAATATGCCTTAAGAATCAGAGGCCTGGAAGAGTCTTTGCAAGGAGATTTGAAAGAGATGGTTGCAAAGGACTTTGCATTGATTTTGAATAAAGAAAAAGAGGGAATACTTAGTGAAATTGAAAAATTATTTAGGGTTAACTCTGTGGTGGCAGTACAGAAGAATCTGCCAAGAGATGTGGTAATTTACTTTGGTAAAAGATCTTTACGCAATGAAATTGTGCAAGCCTATTATAAGAAGAGATTTCAAATTGCTTCACAAGATGTCATAATTTTTAAGGAGATCCCATCTAAAATTTTAAGAAGAAGAAAGGAGTTTGCTTTTCTAGCAAATGAACTTAAAAAGAGAAAAATTCTATTTAGATGGGATGTTCCGACTGGAATGGTGGTGAACTACCTGGGGACATGTCATAGACTTAATACTGTTTCTCAAGCAAAAGATTTTTATACTTCGGTCCTGGGGGTATGTGCATCGCCATCTATTAGGTCTCAACAAGTCCAGATCGAGGAGCAGAAGACAACTTGTGTAGCACATAATTCCAAAGAAAAGCAGCAACAGAAGAAGGTTAAGGAAGTTTCATATTCAGTGGTCTCTGAATCTCTGGGAGATGTTGGACCTACAAAGTCTTTGGAGCAATCTTCAAGGGTGGAATTGCTGCCTGAAATGGAAATTGGGAAATCTCAGTTTGAGGGGCATCAACAAGAGAGGAACGGGCAGAGGATAACTTGTATAACTTACAATTGTAAAGATCAACACAAGGAGGAATTTAAGGAATCCTTACCTGTATTGGCTTCGGAAGTTAGACCTACAAAGTCTTTGGAGCAATCTTCAGAAATGGAAATTGGGAAAACATATAAATGTAAAGAGAAAGACCAACAGAAGAAGGAGGTTGAGGAAGTTTCACAGGTACTGATTCCTGAGCTTGGGGGTCAACCAGGACTTACAAACTCTTTGGAGCGATCTTCAAGGGCAGAATTCCACGCATTCTTTTCGATGCTTGCGGGCAAGAGAGACTGATATGGATTGTGCTTATAGTAGATGCAACTGGCTATTAGACAGAAGATTATGGATATTGAATGAAAATTTTAGATAAGAAGTTTGTGTTTATAGTGGATGTAACTGGTTATTGGACAGAAAATTATGGACATTGAATGAGAACTTTAGACAAGAAGTTTACTATTGAGATTGTGGGAGAAGTAAAACTTATATCGTTTTTGGAAAATGTCTTATGTAATGTCTAAACATGTGTTTTGGGATAATAATATATTTCAGCTTTAAGTTTTAAACCTTTAATGATAATATTGTTTAAACTTGTGTTTTGAAGGGATTACAATTTGTTTATTTCAGTGAGGGAATTCTAATAAATTTGTGTTTCGAAGGGAGTATAACTTGTTTAAGTTTCAAGTAATGCTTAAATTTGGTTTTTAAATATTATTATTAATATTTCTAAGAGAAAATAATTTGTTTAATTAAATGTCTAGATTTGTTTAGGAAAGAAAGTAATGTTTAAATCTGTGTTTTTGGAGGAAGTCTATATAGAATGATGATTGTATTTAGACTTGTTTAGGATTTAAAAGTGTTTCAAGTTTTTAAATATTATTATTAATATTTTTAAGAGAAAATAATTTGTTTAGATTTGTTTAGGATTTTTAAGTTTTTTTTTTTTTGGATAGGTGAGAAGATTATGAAGATTGAAGGAAATATGTATTTATTTTAAGTTTTCTAAGAGTATTTAGTTTTAATGGTATAACAAAGGTTTATATGTTTATTTTTTTGTATTAGGATAAAGAAAGAGGGAGAAATTAGATTTTATATTATAGGCATAGATATTCAAAGAAAGTAATGTTTAAATTTGCGTTTTTGGAGGGAGTTTATATAGAATGATGATTGTATTTAAATTTGTTTAGGTTTTAAAAGTGTTTTAAGTTTTTTTCTTAATTAAGCCTGTACTTAGCTCTGGGAAGTTCAGGGGAGGGCTTGGGAGGTTGGGGAGGAGGGGGGTGAGGTAGGGTTGGGGGGGGGGTATGGGAAGGGGATTTGTTTTTGTAAAAATTTAAAAATTTTCAATAAAAAAAAAAAATACCTGGGAAGATTCTGGAAAAGATCATCAAACAACGAATCAGTGAACATCTAGAGACAAATAAAGTCATTACTAAAAGTCAACATGGGTTTGTCAAAAATAGATCATGCCAGACAAATCTTATTGCATTCTTTGACCAAGTGACAAAATTAGTGGATCAGAGGAATGCTGTGGACATAATTTACTTGGACTTCAGTAAGGCATTTGATAAAATAGATCACAACCTACTACTTGATAAGATAGAAAAATGTGGGGTAGACAGCACCACCACCAAATGGATCCGTAGCTGGCTGACCGGCCGTACTCAGCGAGTGGTTCTCAATGGAACCACATCTACATGGAGGGAAGTGTGTAGTGGGGTGCCCCAGGGCTCTGTTCTGAGCCCAGTGCTCTTCAACATCTTCATCAAGGATTTGGACGAGGGGCTAGATGGGGAACTCATCAAATTTGCAGACAATACCAAGCTGGCAGGAATAGCCAACACTCCAGAAGACAGGCTTAAGATACAGAAGGATCTGGACAGACTTGAACACTGAGCACTATCTAACAAAATGAAATTCAATGGTGAAAAAAGCAAGGTTCTACATTTAAGCAAGAAAAACCAAATGCACAAGTACAGCATAGATGGCACCTTGCTCAATAGTAGTAACTGTGAGAGGGACCTCAGAGTCGTAGTGGACAATCACCTAAATATGAGCCAGCAGTGTGCTGCAGCTGCCAAAAAGTCCAACACAGTGCTAGGCTGCATTAACAGAGGGACAGAATCAAAATCACGTGAAGTGTTAATACCACTTTACAATGCCTTGGTAAGGCCACACTTGGAATACTGCATCCAGTTTTGGTCACCACGATGTAAAAAAGATGTTACGACTCTAGAAAGAGTACAGAGAAGAGCAACAAAGATGATTAGGGGACTGGAGGCTAAAGCATATAAGGAACGGCTGCTGGAATTGGGTATGTCTAGTTTAATAAAGAGAAGGACGAGGGGGGACATGACAGCAGTGTTCCAATATCTCAGGGGCTGCCACAAAGAAGAGGGAGTCAAGCTATTTTCCAAAGCGCTTGAAGGCAGGACAAGAAGCAACGGGTGGAAACTAAGCAAGGAGAGAAGCAACCTAGAACTAAGGAGAAACTTCCTGACAATGAGAACAATTAACCAGTGGAACAACCTGCCTCTAGAAGCGGTGAATGCTCCAACACTGAAAGTTTTTAAGAAGAGCCTGGACAGCCATTTGTCTGAAATGGTATAGGGTTTCCTGCCTGAGCGGGGGGTTGGACTAGATGACCTCCAAGGTCCCTTCCAACTTTACTACTACTACTACTACTACTACTACTACTACTACTATATGATTTAGAATATGACTAATTTTCATGCAGTCTTTCAAATTCTGTAATATGGCATATGACTCATATCTCATACATTGCATGATTTAACTTTGCACCCTGATGAATTTGTGACTAAAACAACTCAACGACGTAAATTGGTTCACCCTCTCCCATTCATTTCTTCTTTTTCTAAGCACATGCTGTGATTTGTAATTGTTTTCTTAAGGTAACCTTTTTATGTTTATTTTTCATAGTTTTTCAGCTCCTTTTCTATAAAATTAGAAGAATGGAAATAACTTTAAATAATTAGATAAATATGTTTAATTTTCTAAATAAAGACATATTAATAATGTGTTACCATATACTCACTTTAGAAAAGCAATAAAAAGAGAATTAATAATGCTGATATCTTCATAATCTAAGGAGAAAAATTGCTAGAAATGTTGATAGACAATACAAAATTAGTTAGTGAGGACTATTTCTAAATTGATAGCAGTGTACTTACTTTCGTCTTTCTGCCTCAAATTTATTCAATAATTTCTGAAGACCACCATTTTTAAATCCCTGAAAATGTGCTGCAGGAGCTCCCACAGTGATGACATCATAAAGAACATCTGCAACACGAAGATTACATGCTAAATTGTACATATACAGATACATTGTAATCATATAGCGATAATAAGTAGTTTTAGTAGTCCTAACTAATACAAATGAATTTGCCTCTCCAAAATGAATTTCACCAATCATCAATTCCCAACCACTTGCAAATGACCAGGTTTACCATTCCAGGGAGCTTCTTTTCTGTCTGAAACCCTCTTTTATTGTCTCATCTGCTTAAATCTTAATGACTTCTTCAACGTTGTTAAACTAAGTCAAGAGCTTACTGTACTATATTGGCCAAGTCCATCCAGTCCATCTAGGAAATATTCTAAAGAGACATTCCTATGACAGGACATAAAGAATCAAATATATTTCCTGCTTCTTCACCCAATTATTGTGATCATGCTTTGTTAGTAAGAAAATATTTAGCAATTGGTTTTATCCTGGTAAGATACCATTACTGGATATGCCTCTTGCCAGTTTTAGAAATTTCATGAGAAAAATTTTTTTCCACGTGGTACTACATGGAATGATAACAGAAAATACAACTTTTTCAAACACAGTTATTAGCAATAACAATAGCACTTAGACTTATATACCGCTTTATAGTGCTTTACAGTACTCTCTGAGTGATTTTCAATATCAGCACATTGCCCCCCAAAATTTGGGTCTTCATTTTACCAACCTCGAAAGGATGGAAGGCTGAGTCAACCTTGAGCCAGTCAGGATCAAACTCCTGGCAGAGGGCAGAGTTAAGCCTGCAATACTGCATTTTAACCACTGCACTACCACTCAATTATTGGTTCCTTTTATTTTTGTAGTTATTTACTTAGGTAGATATAATACATTTTTCTTCCTTTTTTCAATAATGTTATTAAATATTACATTATACAGATAAAATTAATACAATTACATACTACTGAAATATATTAAAAAAATAAAACTTAAGAAACTGCAGAAAAAGAAAATATAAGAAAAGAGAAAGGTTAGAAAAAGAAGCCTCTCCCTTCATCCGCAGCAAGTCTAATCAACATTACCAATTTATCACTCTTAAAATACAATCAAACATCTATTCATTCCATACCTTACATTCTCTATAAGCCCATCCCTAAAACCTCATCTCTATATATTAATCAGCAAAGGACCACTAAGGGTTATCAAAATACTATGTAAGTATTATAATTTTTATTTAATATGCTCAGTTTGAATCTTATTCATTTCTTTTTAAACATATTCTGTATTTCCTCAAATATGGGGTATGTTTAAATAGTTGAAGTTCAATTCCAATCAGAAAAACATTAAATATCACCAAAAATAGCAATGCATTATTTTAAAAGATTTTCAATCTTTAACAAGCAGTTAAAAAAAAAGGAAATTCCAAAATGATTTTAAAAAATGAGGTTTGGTCAAACCTTGAGTCCATAAAAGACTATGTCAATGGTTCTTGAGCTTGTTGAATGAGTCCCAACTGTTTGCCAAGTTAGCAAAAATGTCAATTTCTTACTGGCTCATAAAAAAATACCCAGTTGTGTTCTTACATATGGGTAACCTCAAGATTTCTCCTTGCTCCAGAGAGAATTTTTAACAGTTTAGGTGGAGTATAGATCTGCCTTTTGACTGTAATGTATCCCATTGAACATGGGACATCAATTCACCATTAGTCTGTTATGTTTTTCTTCCTACTGTTTTAGGAATTTGCTTACTATTCATACATATTATATATTTTTTGCACAATCTTTGTTTTGTATATTAAATTACAAAACAAAATTTGTATTAACACTGTATTAATATTCATGCAGTTGGTTTAATAGACTTCAGTTTAGTGAATTTTGGAAGCAGTGTATAAAAACTATTCATAATTCTATGCATGTATTAACATCATTTTACGCTTGCATACATTTCAATTTGCCCTTTAATAGATGTTTGGGCATAGTGGACACTCCTTATTCCTTTCATGATTGAAGTTAAATTATAGGTAGTCCTCAACTTAAGATCATAATTGAGCCCAAAATTTCTGTTGTTAAGTGAGTTTTGCCCCATTATACAACATTTCTTGCCACAGTTATTAAGTGAATCACTGCAGCTGTTAAGTTAGCAACACAGTTGTTAAGTGAACTTGGCTTCTTCATTGACTTTTCTTGTCAGAAGGTTGCAAAAATGATCACAACTTCGGGATGCTGCAACGGTCTTAAGTATGAACCAGTTGCCAAGCATCTGAATTTTGATCACATGATCATGTGGATGCCACAAAGGTTGTAACTGTGAAAGTGGTCATAAGTCACTTTTTTCAGTGCCATTGTAACTATGAACAGTCACTAAATGAACTTTTATAAGTCAAGGACTAGCTATACTAGGTAGTGAACTGTATAACATCATACAGCTTACCTTTTATACAAGGACCCTGCACAAGCATTCTCTGCAGATGTAGATTTATTGGAACAAATTCTAGTGTTTTTTCTCCTTTACTGCAACTTGATTTGAAAGAAGAGCCTGAAAAAAAATGATAAAATATCCTTAACTGAAGATCCAGATGTTTTCTCTTTCTTAAAATCTAAGAAAAGCATTTTTGGGTGTGAAGAATCTTTATGCTTCAGTTTCAGAATGGCTCCCATGAAATCTAAGGAAAAGAGAGCTACTTTTAAAAATTGCTAACAACTCTATATGGACAGTTCTATGCTCCTTGCCACAATTTTCCTTTTAAAATCTAAATACCGCTCTATTTTCAATTTGTAAGAATTCACACCATAGGAATTCTGTGATGTCCAAATCCAAAATATGTACAAGATACGATTTGGATAGGAGAAGTGTAAAGGAGAAATTTAGGAAATATAAAGGAAACTTTCCTAATATCATTAAATTCAAGACTATTTGCACTATTGTAACCAAAGGATTATCTCTTTGTAATTGGTATACAAATTCAGAGGACTAACCATCCACTTATTAATACCTATCAAACAAATTAAGGCTGTAAAACAGCATAATCAATTAATAGATGATTTTACTGACAATGGTGGTGCATTTATTATATATACAGTATTTACTAAAAATAACGAACTTTGTGGCATCTTAAAGACTTTTTAAAGTATTATCTGATGTCTAATACTTAAAGTGTGTACATTCTCCTCTTATGGAAAGAGGTATCCATAAACAGTAAGGTTAGAAGTAAATGAAATGAAGGAACAATAACCTTTGCAGCAAAACCCCCACATATTCTCAGGTAGAAATGAAGGCACCTAAACAACCATTGCAGCAACCATAGAAAAAAGTCTGTAACATTATTCTCATTTTAAAGTCAAGCACTGAAGTCAGTAGTTATTCAACAGTAAAGACTGGGCTTTCAGAGATCAATGCCTATTTCTTAGCCCATGTTCTAGAATTTTCAGTGCAAAAAGTCTGGTCAATACCTCTCTGTTGCTCTCCTCAACTATGGAGAACTCAGCTACTATGTATGTACAGCAAACCTGAGCAAATTCTGTTCTAAGACATAATTGAAATTAATTATAAGTATTTTGAAAATCTTGATATAGAAGGAACAAGACCAGATAAATAGCTTGCTTATTCTGTATAGCAAGTTCATAATAGAAAACTGGAACATATTTACAATTACCATAATTTGCAGTGCAGACTTCAGTCAAGAATAATAGAGTCACACGCAGCAACAATAACACTTAATATGATTAGGCTAAGGCATGTATTCTTTACTTAATTTTTTCTATTAAGTTCTCCAAGTTCATATGTGGGCATTGTGATCCTTCTTTCTTCTCTTCATGCCACTCAACCCAAAGCCTATATATGGTTCCCAAATTTAGAATTAATCAAGGTTTTTAGCTATTATTGGAATTTATCTCTGATTCCAGTTTGTTCGGAATCATAGATTCCAATATTAAATAGTAAACAGCTGTTATATCGCATTTCCATTTTGTACATCATAATTAGTGCAAAAATTATTCAATTAACTTTAGGCATGCTCCAATATCAGCTTACTCAGATAAAGAACATAAACTTGAATTGAGTATAGTTTTCACATTCCCAGAGTTATTTATATTTTTTTGACATAGAAATAAGCGTAAAAATCCACATATTTACCAACCATTGGCAGGCTATTATACTTTACATTTTGTACATGTAAAATGATTCATATAATGAAAAATAGTAGTTTGCATGATTTTACATATGTCTGGAAAGCAGTTTTCCGTAAAAACCCAAATAAGAACTGTGTAAACAGTGTAAACTTAATGAAGATATACACCTTTATGTGCACATGCTTGTCTGCGTTTAAAGCTATTGAAATGAAGCCAGTTACCACAATTTTAATTATATAGTCAGCAAATTCACAGAGAACAATTTTAAGTTTGTAATAATTAACTTGGATAGCACAAGTCTTAATTTCAGCTTTTCAAGCTATTTAGGAAAAGTAAAATATTTTGGACCTATATGTCAGTCCAAACATATTTAATTTCTAATTCTGACTATTTTTACATTTACATTACAATTACTCAAACTAAAACTAAGCGTAGCTTTCCTGAATGGGATGCCATCAGTACACTGTGAAACTGAAATCTGAACTTCCTGATGGAAAGACGAGATATAAGCACATATGCCACATATTTCTGGAAACAATAGGTTCCACTAGAAATAACATGTAACTGAGTTATTTGCTGAACATGTTCCACTAAGAAATTTATAAATAGAATACATCTATAAATAAATGATTTATTTCCATAAATTCCATAATTATAATACCAAGATATTTTTATCACTTTTTAAAATTTTTATTTATCAAATTTAGATACCACCTCTCTCGCTATCCAAGTGACTCTGGGCAGTTTTCAGATACAAATAATAAAACTGTATAAAATAAATAAAATTTGAAAACAATTAAATCAGAGTGAAAAATAAAATAAGAGCAAACTTAAAAAGTTAAAAAAGGTGAAGGGTGCATCGTCCAGCCAACCCCAGACTTGTGTGCCATTCTTCAATCCCCAAGCCAGTTGGCAGACTATCTTCCAGAAGACTATCAGTCAATCAGAATAGAGCTGGAAGGGGCCTTGGAGGTCTTCTAATCCAACCCCCTGCTCAAGCAGGAAACCCTATACCATTTCAGATAAGTAACTAAAGAGTGGGGGCCATTATCACCTCTGGGGCAAGATATTCAATGGCAGGCGCAACAGCAAAGAAGGCCCCACCAGCTGAAATTCTTTAACCAAAAGGTTCTATAACATATCCTCCCTGTTTGACATCACATCACATTGCCCGAAATTAAACATGTAACTCCATTCAATGTACAGGGTTTTACTTTATGTTTCTTTTCAAATAGCAGCTACAGTATGTGGGTAAAAGCATCAAGATTACTAGTGCAAAGTGAAAAGATAATTCTTTCTCTGGTACTATGAACTTGATGAAAATCACATTTCCTTAAAACAAGTTTCCATCCAGACAGGGGAGTGCCTTTTCTTCCATAGCAGCTTGTATTTCATTATCAACAGTAGCATCAGAATAAATGTATAAATAAATTTATAAAATTTATAAAATGAAAATAAATATATCAAGCAAAAATTAAAATTGTGTGATAGAAATTAACCAGAAAAATAAAAAGAATAATTTAAAAGCCTGGAGAACAAAATAGGCATTTTCTATACCTAAAAGGAAGCAATGTTACTAGCAGATGAATATTGTATGGCTTGCTGGAAAAATAATCTTTGTGACTGTCAGCTATTTTATATACCAAAAAAAAAAGAAAAGAAAAGAAAAAAAGAATCTGGCTTAAAAAACAAAACAACTGCAACTATTTCATCAGGCTAAGAACAGGAGGAGAGGAAATGAACAAGGTATAGGACACTATAAATGGCAATCCTGCGCATTAAAACCTATCAGAGATATAAAATAAGAATCATCCTTTATATGGGAACAATATTGGATAGCTTCCATATATAATGAAAACATACCTAGAAATGTACATAAAGGATGGTCTAAATAACTGATAAGATGGAGAGATCTTATGCACGATCTGCAAAAAATATCATGCCCAGACCATGAAACAGATTAGATTCTTGTTATCATCTGGGCCAGTGTTTCTCAACCCTGGCAATTTTAAAATGTGTAGACAAATTCACAATTCTAGAAGTTTATACATCTTAAAAACAAACATTGATTGGACTTTCAGTTTTGCACAGTAGCACCGGACCAAGGGACTGCAGAGCTCCGTATCCCACAGCTGGTTTAGACCATCCAGGGGACCCTAAATGAATCTAAGTCACCCCAGAGAGATGACGAAGGAGCCCCCCCCCCGGTTCACTGAAAGACAGCAGTCGATCCGTTTGATCCGGGGGAAGCGCTCCAACCCGACAAGAGAAAGGCTAGCTGCACATCAGTGACTAGCCCAAGCTACCAGCAGCAGAAGTCCAAAAACACTAACCAGAACAACTATGAACAGCGTGCTTGGAACTGGGTGAGAATGTTGATCTTCTCTCTTTTATCGTGTAACTGATTTTCTGGAAAAGATCCCCAAGAAGCAAAAAATCCTCCAAAAGTGAGAAGGGAGGGAATCGCAACCCACCCTTCCATAGATGGAAGTGGCGATTTAATTTTTGTGGGGGACAGAAATATATTGAAATGAAATTAATACTATAGTCTGTATAAATCTAAAAATTATGAAAACTGTTAAGATTTCACATCTAAAAGAGTATTGATGAAATTATAAAAAATAATTATTCGTCTTAAAAGTTAGAAAATGACTAGCTACTGACACCTAGTGGACGATTAGAGCACAGAACAGCTGCATTGACTGAGAAATTGGCAAGACGTCTAGAAATAAAGAACTGAACCTCAGTACTTTTAGCCAAATAGAAAACAGCTGGGAACAGGGGAAAGAAAATACACTGGGTCACCTATTACAGATTGAGAACTATATTTGTTTTAAAAATTGCTGACCTTCTGGGATTATAGAGCGGTGGTCTCTAAGCTCAAGTATTGTCTGCAGAGAAAAATTTTGACTTTTGGCTAATTTTCTAGGGGGGAATTTACTGCATGGTTAAACATTCTGGATTGCAATTTTGGCTGGCTGATAATTGTAAGACCCCTGAATAGAAGAGCTATTATAAAATATTGCTTTCAGTGATGCTTTGACAATTGGAAATGTATTGGATAATAAAGACTATGGTACCGGTGAAATAAGACTATGGTACCGGTGAAAGAATATCTGAAGAGGGGAGATAAAACTAATGTTGCCTACCACACCTAATATCTCCTTCTGAAGGCCCCAGCCTGAAATATCAGAGACCTGCAGGAGCAATACACCAAGACAAGGCAAATATTTTCCAGGAGGAAATGTATGCAATGCTGCAACAGATTCAAATGACAATTGTGTCAAATCATGATGAAATTAAAAACAACTTTGATGACATAAATAAGCACATCTTTAACCTAAACATACAATTAAAAAACTCTCAGAAAATGACAACAAATGAACAAACAAACCAGATAACAGAACACAAATCAGAGGACAGTGACCCAAAGAGCGAAGCTACAGATGAAGAGAACCACAGCTTAATACAAACAAAAGAAAACTTGCAAGATTTTGCCATAACAATAGAAATGGAAAAGATATCTTATTTTTTAGGGCTTCAAAACAAACTTTAAGATAGGAAAGAAGATCTAACGAAATGGATTATAGAGCAGCCAGGAGAATCATTAAAGTTTGGGAGACAGAAAATGCATGTCTTAAAAACTTAACTTGTCTCTTCTATTCTCAACAACATTTACAAAAATAGAAGAAGAATCGCCTGGCAAGTTGAACACACTGACTTGGAAAGTTACTTGGCAAAAGAAGAAGGCTAGAGTTAGATTCAAGAGATTTGATTCGACTTATGAGATGGAGTGCTATGAATACAGAGGGGAAATTAAGCTTAAATAAGAATCTTGAAAACAGGACATATAGTGACTCAACAAGATGATTTTTATAAATACAATTGAAACATAAGCTGATCAGAAAAGATGTTATATGCTGATGTTACTGTTATTTGTACAAACATAAGAAAAATGTTTATATCCAACTTTGTATATATCGAAAATATAAAGGACTATATTTGTTTAATGTTGACAAAAGGAGAATACTACTGGAAGAAGAGAGGACCAAAGCAATATATCATTAATCAATATATTGATTATGGAACTATAGAATTTAATTATTATTGTTTTTTAAATATATGAACCCAGACAACACACTGTTTAACAAGCACTAAAGACTGTTATTATAAAAATCAATAAAATATATTAAAAACAAACAAACAAACACTGATCTAGGCATTGAGAGATCTTACATTCAAGTAATATCATACATTCAATACTGTAATTATTTGTTTTCATAAACTTAAGAAAAAAGGTGATTATATGAACTCATGGTTTGTGCTACATATTTCTATAGAATAAAAAATCCCAAAATCGTAAGTTTAATTATTAAACATTTTCTGACCTGTATGTTTTCCAAGTTCTGCAAGCATATTTTGGTACAGGATCAACATTTGATCACAGTGTGCAATAACATTTTTACGCATATTGTCCCAATGTGGAGAAAGCTCCCCAAGTTCTTTAAGGTCCTGATTCCTGTAGCAAAATAACAATAAAAAACGTATTTTATCAATCTAATCTTACAAAATGTTAGTACAAATTAAGTGGTTAAACAACTATAGTCCAACAGCTAGTTTTACCATTCTTATTTATATATAGCATTATCCTGGGCTTAATCAATAAAATACTTTTTTGCAAAGAGATGGATTCAGGTTTAATTCAGAGAATCTTTCAGTAGGGTAAGGAATCCAGGTAGTAATAGAAAAGGCATTCTTAAACTGGCACCCTTCATGCATCTTGGAACTACTAAATACTGGCTAAGAATTCTAAGAATGAAAATCTCAAAATATCTACATTCTAAAAGGCTGCTAGATCATCTGCTATTTCTATGTTTTACAGAGGAAATAGGTCTTTAATTAGTATCTCTGAAGATCCCTGCCCTATCGCCTTCTATTTACATTAACATTTGATGAGGTGTTATCTTTTAAATCTACACCTTTTCAATGTTTACAAATTCTAATTGTATTCTCCAGCTTTTCTGTGAAAATAAACTGGTTTCCATCTGCATTTAGTGCAACCATCTGCATTGTTTAATACTGAAAAATATGCTCTGAAATCTAAAAACAACAATTCCACCAGCATCATTAAACAAAAAACCCCAAACAAATAATGATTTCCCCAAATAAAATAGTTTAACTTGGATGATGAGAATAGCACATTCAGATTTTCATTTTTTAAATATACCACTTAAAGAAAATCTTACTTTCACTTTTAATATGTACTACCAGGATTTATCTGTCTGGATTAATCATCTTGGCAAGTGCACCTGCTAAGTGAAAATGTTGGGCTAATAAAAGATAGTCAATTCATGGAGTTACAAAAGGAGACTCTTTAGCAAACTGCCAGCTTCCCATTAACCCTGGAAACTGACATAATTGAAACACAATTCATATCAGTATTAAATGAAAAAAACATGGAAAACTTTTACTGTTAGAACTACAACTGCCTGATTTCATTGAATATAAGAAACATGTTGTGCTGGGTGAAATGTGCTGGGTGAAATTTGGTTTTAACATCTATTAATTCAGGCTAAATGTTTTAAACTACATATCTGTTTCTCCTTGATGTTAGATATTATGGTTGGTGAAAGTTTGCTGAAGACAATATAATTGTACTGCTAATTCTAATACATTTTGAGATTATTAGTAATTTCAAATATGAAATACCCCCAAAAATATAAAATGTCAAGGTTCTTGCTGAAAAACAACCTCATTTAGCCCTTTCATTCTTGAATTATTTAAGCAATGTGTTCACAAAGGATTCTGCAGCAAATCAACTTTACATCAAAATGATGATACATGTGTTGATGCAAATTTTGCCTTTATATAATTGTGTTCCAATGTTTGTTGCAAGTTATGAGATTTTATTAATTTTATTAATACATATAAAATAATAATTCTGGGTGCTTCCATTTTTCCTGATTGCAATCATCTATAATTTAATAACTAGAATTAGTAATGTTTTATCTAAATTTATTTCAACTAGAATTTCAGATGAAATGTACATAGTTTTGATTGCCATGACCCAAGATAGGTATCAAAAAGGAAGAAAGTATGATACTAGCAACTATATTATCAACTTTCAGACTGCTGCTTCAACTAGGGGACATTATCATATCAACTAGGATATTAGACTTTTTATTTTTAGGAGCTTTTCTATAGTATTCTAGAAAGTTTTTATGTCTCCCATCCTTCTTAACATTTATATCTCAGATAAGGTATAACAAAAAATGTAAGATAATGGAGGGCATGTGAATGCTTCATTTCATTTTGACATTCCTAAGGTCATTAAAATATTTGGGCTTATTTTGAATTATGTTGTCAACGCTGCTAACATTGGATGTTCTTGCTTTGACAACAGATGGAAATGCAGCCATTTTCTCTATTGCTTTTAGAATTAGTTGATGGTGGGAGAGAGAATAGAGATGAGAGTCGAGCTAGTCAAAAAATAATATCTTAGCCATGGGAACCCAAGGACATTGGGCCCAGAGCTGATAGTGTTTCGGCAGGCTGGAGAGCTGGGGAGAAAGCCCGCACTTCAAGCTAACTGGGGAATGTGATTTATGACTGGTTATTGAAGGAGGGAATTGTACTTTGTTACTTTGTATCCAGGGGAGGGGAATTTAGTTTTTGGTTTCAACTATGCAGTGTCACTTTGGCCACCTAATGAGAAGGAAGGACTCATTGGAGAAGAGCCTAATGTTGGGAAAGATTGAGGGCAATAGAAGAATGGAACGACAGAGAATGAAGTGGCTGGATGGAGTCACTGAAGCAGTAGTATTGAACTTAAATGCACTCCAGAAGATGGTTGAGGACAGGAAGGCCTGGAGGAATGTTGTCCATGGGGTCACGATGGGTCGGACATGACTTCGCAATTAACAATATGTAGTGCAGATACGTTATTTCTCGAGTAAAAGATTCTTTAAGGCAAACAATGCCTCTTTTGAAGAGTTTCATCTATCGGAACCATGACATATGTACAGTATCTCAAATTTGGAATGTATAAATATATGAAAAAATATTTTTTAAACATGGGATGTAGAAAGTTTGTTCTTTTATGATAGAAAGACATGTTTGTCTTTATTAATTAACAGGCGCCACACTGGATTTATGCCAATGAATTGTGTCAGACTAACTCGATCTTCTTTAATGGCAGAGTTACTAGACTGGATGATCCCTTGCTACAGTATATCTTGACTTTAGCAAGCCTTTGATGCTGTTATAACATCCTTATTAACAAATTGATCAAATATGGGTTTGACAACTCAAACATTATGTGGACCCACAATTGGCTCAAGGACAACTCAAAGATAGCATCAAATCTTCCTGGAGAGACATCTTGTGTAAGGTGCCATGGGAATTTGTCCAGATCCTGGTGTGAGTCAACATTTTTTTAAATGATATGGAGAGAGTTAAAGGAATGCTTACCAAATTTGCAGACAATACAAAACCAGGAGGAGTTACTAATATTTAGGAAAAGGGAAAAATCCAAAAAGATTTTGCTTAAAACAGTGGATGGAAACAAATAAAATGAAATTTTATACACAGAGAAGTATAAATTCATGCTTCTAGATAAACAACAACAGACATTCAAAATAGAGGAAATCTGGTTCAAGAACAGCACATACAAGGAGAATTTGTATGTACTAGTGGTTCATAAGCTCTATATGTCTCCACAGCATAATCCAACACTGTTCAAAGAAGACAAATAACATCAAAAATCCAGATTTAGAGAGGTACTACTCCGCTCTATTCTGTCTTGGAAGGCTTCACTGGGATTATTATGTTCAGTTCTACACATTTTAATTTGAAAAGAACATTTATTAACTGGAACAGGTCCAAATGAGGGCTACCAAATGATGAAATTACTGAAAGGGATAGTTAAAAGATCCAGTTTTCAGAAGAGAATAACAACAATAATAAAAATGAAACAGAAATGAGTAATAACATCCAAAGTAAAGCATAAAAATATTTTAAGTAGCAACAGAGAAGTAGGGAGAGAGAAAAAGAGTGGAATTACTAGCATTTTTATATACTTTTTTATTTATCTTGTTATAATGTTATATGGGAATGTCTTTGAGGGACAAGGGGAAGAGATGATACCTAAGGATTGATTAGCTATTTTCTATTATTTATCTTATTTTATATTTAAGATGTGCACGATTGATGTTAACCATCCAGGGAAACATGATCACATGAACTAATTCTACTTTAATGTCAGGCTACATTACAGAATCTTATAACTCTGAAATTACAAATCATTCAGTCACTTTTAACAGATACATTAGGGCAGATCCTTCTTAAGTTCATTTCTTTGCCTGTTAAACACTTTTTGGCTCTCCTGCCCCTTTTTATCTGATCATTCCCTAGGCAGCATCTCTTCCCCTTTTCCCTCAAAGTCATTCCCACATATCATTGCACTTTTTTACTGGTTTATCTTTTTGTTTGTTTTGCCTTTAAATACTTCAGACAGTGCTGACTCATGGGCTTGAAATGGAGATTAATGCTGCCCCCTATAGTTGGCAATAACTAGTGGAGTAAAACCCACAGAGATTCCTTCCTTTAAAAAAATAGTTTAATAATATTTTTATAGCTGTTGTATTTTTATTTATTTATTTTATTTCAATCTTCATTCTAGCATAAAGTTCATTTTATGTATCTATTTGTATTCTTTTCCTTTTGTTTACTTTACTTAATTCAAAGAATGGTAAGTCAGAATTCAACATTTTTATAAGCATGTACATTTCAAATGTACATGCTTATAAAACATCTTGTGGCCCATAACCCACAAGATGTCAAGGTCTTCATCGAAATCGATGGACGAACAACAACATTTTAAATAAGCAGCACTTTTTAACAACTGGCTGTGGGAAAATGAAGGTTCAAAACTATTACATAGATAAACAAAATACTTTGTTGTATAACCCCCCCCTGAAAAACCATGAATGAAATTTATTATATTAATATGGACCTGCTGAAAAGAATTTTAGACAAGTTATATTTACATTATAAAACCGGCTGAAGCTAGCAAATTATCTTCAATTATTCCTTATATATATACGATGTTAAAAACTATATAGTGTTTTGTTGTTGTTTTTATAATATCAGTATAAGAAAAAAATAAAAAAAGAAACACATTAACATTTAAACTTCTCTCTAATGACTAAATACATTTTATTTTCTTTATGAATAAATCTATGGCAAAATTAATGGTCTGATTATCAGACCAGTTGATTCAAAAACTTAAACATATAACATGAACATATAAAATCTCCTTGACTAGAATAATGTGATTAAGCTTCTTGAAGTATTCTATGTTTCCCTGCTCAACACTAATTCAGAAAATACTTGGAGTATGTGGCAGAACTGTAAAACAGTTTCAGATCTGGATTGGCCACACCTACGGTACTACAGGTAGGCCATTGGATTTTCCAGAGCAGGAAACGCTACATCAGCTCTAATGCCTGTTGTGGGCCCCTTAGCAATAGTTTGATTCTTTTACATTATTACATTGTTCCACTGGAGCAAGCAGTCTGGAATTCTGAATTCCTAGCATTTTGTTAATTACTATAATCAATGTTTTAAGTCAGTTTCTACCAGCAGTTTTCTAAAGACTATTCTAAAAGCACATTTTTAAAACATTTTCATTTCATTTACCTTCTCAGATCTTCCTTTATGTGAAGGCTGATAAGTTCCTTGGGAACATGAAAAGAAAGATTGCTCTCAAACATCTGTTCTCGTATATACATCCACTTGTTGTCAGAAGTGGGGAATGTATATAATTTACAGATTGGGTTTTTTAACACTGTAAAAGAGAAAGCATGGTATTGCTTAACTGCAGCTTACATTTTTTCCAAAAAATATTGCAGCATATATTTCCCAAGTAAGTGAAAGTTGTAGTTTGAAAAGCAGGAAGAGTAGTGACACTTGAATTCTGGTGTTGGAGAAAACTGAGTACACAGTAGACAGCCAAGAAAATAAAGCATGGATCAAACAAGTCAACACAGAGTTTTCACTCAAGAAATAAATGACCATGGTCACATATTAGGATATGTGGAGGGCAGTTCTATTGTTAGTATCTGGAATAGAGAACTTTTCCAGTCTGCTTCAGAAATGATACTTTTGGCACATAGAAGAATTGGGAATTGAAGCGCAAGATAAATGAATAAAGTGTGGATTGAGAAACTCTTCACTTTAATCTGACATGGCACAGCATAAACAACCATGGAAGGTCTATGGAATGACTATGTTCAGCAAAGAAGTAGTTTTTTCCTGCACATATCATACAACAATTTTATTGTCTGCTGAGTTGTCTCAGGCTGTAAGAGGCTGACTGTAAGAGGGTTGGAAGGGATCTTGAACATCTTCTAATCTAATCCCCTTCCCAGTGCAGAATCCTCATACTATTCTGAATGGCTGCCTGGTCTTTTCTTGAAAACCTCCAGTGACAGAGCACCCACAACCTCAAGAGGCAATTGTCCTATTGCTTAATATATCTAAGTCATGAAATTCTTCCTTCATTCAACTGTGGATCTATCACTGTACAGCTTCCACCCATTTGTTTTTGTTCTTGAAAAGTGGATCATAAAGTTGAAACTATATTAGTAAGCCCAATGAATTATCTTTTTTTGGAGATCAGCCAAGAGAATGTACTCTGATTATCCTCTTTCACTCTTCTGTAGCTTTCAGTCATCTTATCCTTCTGAATTGGCTGAGAGATTTGGAAATTAGAGTCATTGGTATTATGGTTGTGTTCCTATTTTTCAGATAGGTTTCATATGGTATCACTTGGAGATAATTTCTTCTTGAAATGGGAACTGTTATATGTTGGTCCTCACTTTATCATTATTCTCCAGTGCTTTTCAGGATCCATTTGAAACTATTGGGAGGGTTTGGTAGTGGATCTAATACTGGGTGATACACTATGTGTCAAGCTCCACACAGACTTGGGTGACATCAAGGAAGCAAGAATTACACACAGGTCAGTCAAATATATTTAATACTAAACATGGACTAAATGGACAGTAGGAATTTCAAACTCTCATTTATTGTAAATTGCTTTAAGGCAGAGCTCTTTAGTAATTTGAAACATTTCTTATCCTGTTTTTTTTAATCCCTGAGCTAAATTACCATTTAAACTACCAATGTACTTAGCTTCCATTTCTTAATTGTTTATATCTATTTTCTCTTCAATTATATTCCCAGTTTCTCTACAATGGTTCACATGCGGACCTATTTTTTATTTTAGGAAATGGTGTAGCTCCTTGGTGTGCTCTTCATAAGTGGCTGAAATTGAATTTGTACAAGATGAAACTTTTCACAACTCCAGAGACAAGGTAAATTTGCCTTTTCTAGACAGGATTTCATTCTCCTGTGCTTCTGGATTCAAATATCTCTCTTTTCCAAATTGTTTCAACAGTCAATGATTGATCAGGCAATATGCTAACTTTCTGAAAAATAATTTGCTTAAAACTGTGATCTGCATGTTGGCAATTTCTAACTTTCACTATAATAATGTTCCATAGGGGACTACTTTCATTTAAGTCTAGAAATTTCAGTTAGTACAACCTTCAGCAGCCATGCTGATTTTAGAAAAAGTAAACAGACCTTATTACACTTACGATAAAAGTACTTCATTGATTACACTTCATTTCCTAGGTCACTATATTAAACATCCTTCAGATTTTTGATAGAATATTCCTTTTTATATGAACTGCCATATTTATTGAAATCTTATGACAACATTGGCCTCCAAATGTCATGACTTCCAAGTAAGATCTTTACATTATCCTTCCAGCTGTTTAAAAAATACTCCCTGAAGTGCTGAGGGCTAGTAGCCTTTAATAAGCCTTTAAAAGACATTGTTTTGTCTTGGTTTTTAATTATTGATTTTAACTGTTTTAATTGCTATTTTAATTATTTGTAATATCTCAGTTTTACATTTCTTTTATTACCAATTATTGAAATACTTCATTTTATATTAATATTTGTTTATAAATCCATGAAAACTTTGCAACAAAAGACTTACTAGTGATTTGTATGAACTAGCTTTTCCCTATCTGTGCCATTCAAATTTGTTCAGTTTTGTTATTATGTTGTCTGGGGGATTTAGGGAAGATACAATCCAAAATTAAATATTAAGTTACACTATGCTTCAGAGAAAACCTCTGAATAGATAATTAAAATTTCCTCTGCATTAGTGGCTCTAATAATGTATTTCATAAAGAGAACTTGCTTGTAAAGAACAGAAAAGAAACTTAATTTTTAGAAAGTCAAAATATTAAGAAAAGTCCCTTATTTCCTTTATAGGGTCATTATCCTTTATTGAGCCCTCCCTGTTTGACTGATTTTTTAAAACAAAAAAATACACGTAGATAAGCTAGTTGTCAGTCCCTTGAATTACGCTAGATTGAAAAACAAATTTCACAAACACTGTTGGAACATTTGTTGTAGGGGATGATAACAGACTTATTGTAAATATCAGGTATCATTCAGTATATAGTATAAAACAAAGACATACATTCCTTTCCCTGTTATACCAAGAAGAATCAAGGTGGAACAGTCATCATCAGTTTCTTTCCCACTACCTCACTACATTTTCCAGTGAAAACCTGGTGTTTATGTAATGGCTTCTGATGCCTTCTTCAAGGCGATTTACATATTCTTTTACACAATATTATTTTAATGTCAACATTTGCAATTGATAAATGATTAGTAAAAAACTCAAAAGTCTTAAAATAAGAATTGAAATTCAACAATAGTTTATTAGATTAACAATGAATAGCCACTCAGATTCATTGAAAATTGGGCAATATGCTAGTATTATATTATTATTATTATTATTGTTTATTTCTCATGCTTATTTCCCAACAAAGACTTCATAATTTATAAAGGATTTGGGATTCATATCCTAAGCAGATATTTAAGAATAAAGACAATAGCCTTCCAATATAGGAGATTTTATAATCCACAATTTCAAATCCCCTCATTTTATTTCCAGAATTGCAAAGGATACAATGAGCAGTTTAAGATACAGAGGTTAAACAGGTGTACTGTATGTATGTGCACGCACACATATTCTATAAATCATTTGAGTGTCTGTTGATATCTATATAAAAGAACAAATTTTATCACATTCATCATATGACTGTGATTAAATGCACTGTCCGAGTGATCTAGGCTATCTTGTTGGAAAAAATCTTAATGGCGACTCCACTAATGGGTGAATGAGCAGCAATACACTGAATCACTATCCAATAAATCACTATCCAACAAAGAAACTTTAGGAGAAAAATTGAACTATCTAAGCGAGTAGTGTTGGAAGGACAGAGTTCTGCTTGAAATTCTAGTGATTTATCTTTGTTGCTACTTTGACACAGAAAGTTTGACTGGTTTAAATTGGAACTCCGGTTACAATTTTGCCTATATGCTAGTAGTTTAGTATTTACACCCATTATCATATACATTCCAGATTACACTAATATGCACGAAGTACAATTCTGGCTTTCAAATGAAGCCAGCAGAAAAAAAATGAGTGGATGATTTCATGGAATTTCTGCAGGGGATGAATACATTTTCCAACAGTTTCAGCTGATTTCTCCTTTGCTGTAATAGAAGTTACTGCTTTTGAAAAAGAATTTCTGGATGTCAACATTTATTGAAACTACAAAAATCGGGGTAATTATATATCTGTGGAGAGATGATTGTACAGTAAGCATGTCTTGCTTACTGTACAATCTTTGACCCCTACCGGAAGGTAATAGAAATCATATGAGCCTGAAGCTAGCTCACTCTTTTAATTCAATACGAAGGTTAACATTAAGCATTCATTAATCTCACCATTATAAATTAAATGTACATACCTGCATTTAATAATGGTAAATTATCTCTATTAATTATGTTTTCTGGAGATGAACATGAATAAACCAAGGCACACTGAAAGATAAAGTTAGCAAATGTAAACAAGAATTCATAACACAGAATAAAAATAAGTTATAAAGCAATCATACTGAATTTAATATAATGTACTACCTAGTTAAATACCATAGCGCAGTGATGGCGAACCTTTTAGAGACTGAGTGCCCAAACTGCAACCCAAAACCCACTTATGCATCGTCGGGTACCGGGTGGGTGTGGCCCATTGGGTGGGTGTGGTCCATTGGGTGGGTGCGGCCCATTGGCTGGGCATGGCTGCGGTGGTAACAGCAGACTGGGTGGGACTAAAAAGTTCATTCAATCAATTCCAACTTTGTAAGGTCTTTTTTTTCCCCGCAAGTTGAAATTGACTGATTGTTTGAACCTTTTTTTTTTGTACATGGTGGCGGAGCTTAAAGCAAAAAAGTTTTATAAAACCCAGCTGAAGGCCTAGGACTGGGGCGACGGCGCGTGCGCCCACAGAGAGGGCTCTGAGTGCCGCCTCTGGCACCCGTGCCATAGGTTCGCTACCACTGCTATAGCGCATATCATTATTTTACTCTAATATCTTTAAAATGTCAAAATTGTTGTGAGTTTGAGTGGAAAAAATGTTTAATTTCTTACATAATGAGGAATTCAGGAACTAAAGGCTGCTTTAGAAAAAATATTATCTTTATTCACAAGATGCTTAAGAATTATTGTTATTCCTTTTGGCCAACAGTATTCATATTTATGTCTATGCCCAATAGCTGGAAGCTTCACATCACCCAGAGAAGACCAATAAGAGGCATATTATAACCTTAGCAAAGGGGTAGTACATGTTGTTAGACACTTTCTTTTCATCTTGTTTTACAATGTCTAGAGTCCGTCCATCCTCCCTCCCCCCTCTGAAAATCCTTGACTAAATGAGCAATCTAACATGTCATTGTAGATCAATGTGCTAGGCCACAGGTCGGCAACCTGCGGCT